TGATTCAGCTTGCCGCCTGGTTTTGACACATCAGAGATTATTGACGCTATACACATGGCATCGCGGTCAAAAATGTTTAGAGTGCTACTTTTTAAACTGAAATCTCCTCTTTCATGAAAATAGCCTTCGGATACGCAAAACGACACACACATGATTTTTAAAAATAAGAAAACCGTCGATTTTAAGCTATTTTGTATCCTCGATAATTATTCGCATCAGCTATTTTTACCTTAAAGGAAAACTAGTCAAATGGACGCCTTGAAGTGATCAGACGTTAGCATAATCGGCTCTTTTGGACACCAAACGGTAGGAAGTTGAGAGAATAAACACTTTCGAAACGAATTCAAATACAGACGTAATCACATTTTAGTGTGCTCTTGTGTATATTTTCAAATTAAACCTACAAAAAAGTAGTCAGTCATCAAAGTGAAGCTAATTGGAATAGTATTAAATCTTTTTAACCTGTTGCAAGTGGAAATATACGCGGTAACTTCTTTCAGTTTTGTTCGGCACTTTTGAAAAGTAACACTTAATATACAAATATCACTACAGTTACAATAGAATTATCATTGTAGATAGAAAAGATATTTCAGTACGTAATTATGTTTATCCAATCAAAATGTAGCTATCAAAATGACCGTGAAGAATTGAAACTCAGGTGGATGTTTTCGGTGTTGTTGTCTTCACTGACCTGAATGTCATAATTGGATAGTTCTTGTTGTCCCTCCAACTCCAAAATGAAGCTATTAAAATATATGAGGAGTGAATATGAATATGTTAAGAAAACTTAATAGACAGCTTTTATCATTGCTATTTAAAAACAAATGAGCCAGTAGATGTTGTCCCAGCGACTGAACGATAAAGCGTTGACCTTCTTACCTGAAATTCTGTGATTAGGTCGCCAAGGAGATCATATGTGCACACTAGTTAAGAGTACAAAATTACGACGAGATAACTGTCCATTTGTTCTCATTTCAAAATGTTTCTCTAACTTATATCGCACTGTGACGCAATCTAAACTTGACTGATAGAACTCAGTCTCCAACAAACAGATGACTACAGGCACTACACTAGTTACTACCTAGTACCAATCAAACTATGAAGTCAGTCGAATCTGTACACACTAACGGTTGTGTATTTAAAGTGGTTGCCTGGCTTTCATCCGTTAAAATCAACTGCAACTGTCCTATCTTCTACGTATTGATGTCAAAGACGAAGTAGACATGTTACCACTGTACCTATTCTAAGTGCATTATTCTCTTAATCAAAAGTAATACTCGTTGTTCCTAATATAGAAAACTTAACAGCAAGGAAAATTGGTGGGAAATACTTCCTTTTTAAAATACGCTTTGCAAATTTCCCTGCATTTCAGATACATACGAAAAAAAGTTGTTTTGAGAGGAATAGTAGTAATAACTTTATAAGCCGTTTGTAGTTCAGTGTGACTGAGCAAACTCTATATTCAAATAAATTGTCTTCAAGAAATACGCAGATGAACTATTCGGATAATTGCCAACAACTCTATAAGTTTAGTTTTTGAAAACTGTATTCATTTTACATTTTGTCTGTATCAATCTAATTGCTCTTATAGCCTGAAGACAAATTTCGACGTGACGTATGTCTTATACTTTAATTTTACTGACAATTTTTATTTCTGACTACATTTAACTTTCGAAAAGAGTGAGTGAGTATCATCAAATCATGTAAAATAAAATTAATCATGAGTCCCATAAATGGTCAACCAGACTTAGACCGTATTAACCATAAGTGTTTTGTTAGGAAAATGACCAGCATTCTTCAAAGTTAATATGCATGTAAATGTAAACGCTGCTCGTCATTTCATAAGGACATTTGATAAAACAGAACACTCATTTTCTAAGAACTTCAAGGCAGTGCAGATCTCAATAGACTCATGAAAACTATCACAGTAGAAACATCGGATGTAGATGAGCTAATTTTCAAAATGGCTGTCATCTGCATTTATCTGAACAGTTATTAGACACTAATGTTCATTGAATAAGGTTTCTTTCGCTGTTTACACTAGTTGGCTTATTTGATGCCATTCACTTCATTATAAAATGACAGCCTAATTTAGTGTTATGGAGGGTAATATTTAGCATAGCATAATTCAGAAATTTCTAAAAACCAGAGACATTAATTATTCGTTAGATGGCCGTCAATGAAAGTAGTTCAGAGGACAATGACTTTTACAATTATAAATCAATCAATATAGATCACCAAATACATTTTTTGACGAGTATTAATGAGTGCGCATAAGGTACACCAATCTTAGATAAAATGAAAATTCACCATTTAATGGCAGTTTAGGAAAATAGGTACCGTTTGATCACTAGAAAGGAACGAACTCATGAAAGATAATAAATAACTCATCTTCAGTCACTGAAAGCTGCATTCAAATTTCAAAAAGCTAAGATTATCAGGACCACCTATGTTATTATTCGCCAAATGACTAGGAATTAGACACCTTTAACTATGTACTGAAGTTGGAAGTCATTTTTTGTTTTAGAGATTAAGAGTCAATGGAAAGACAGCTCCGATTTGAATTTACTTGGACTGTTCAAGTTAATGATGGTGTATAAAGAAAGTGTGTGTCCGTTGAAAACGGAACGGATTATTCTGAAAAATTAAGGTTTACAAAATTGGCGGCTGTCTGTCTGACTAACAACAATAGTGAGAGAGAACACACCTTCTTCAAACACCATTGGTGTGAAATCTCACACTAACTGACTCAGTCTCATCTTCAGTTAGCTTTTATTAAGAAACATTAGGCTTGTTCCAGGAGTCCGTTGTCAATATATTGTTTTTGTATTAAACATCCTAATATTTGAACAAATTTCACAACAAACTTTACAATTATTTAATCAGTGATCAGTGCTTACGAGTGTCAAGCCCATCAAATACTTGGAATACTTAGTTTTACTTCCCAATTATTTTAATTAGTTAAAACATAACAAGTGGAAATTTTATAACTCCTGTGGTTTATGAATAAAAGGGTTTTAAACAATCGCTATTTCCTTTCTGATACGATACAGCTGGCCGGTTTTATTTTGCAGGTATGATGATGCATGTATGTGGATTCATTATACATGAATTACAAACTCTGAACACAAGAAGGATCTCAGCAAAACCATGAAACAATTCCGCGTCGGTGGCTTAGCAGTGGAAGGCTTGCCAGCCACACATGTGGTCTGGGGTTAGATTCCCGGCAGACTTACGCCATTACCTCGCTAAACCGGTTACAAGACCAGTAAAGAGGGGAGGTCAGGTGTGAAGCTTGCAGCCCCACTACTTAAAAATAAACATCACTGCTACCGCAACTTCAAAACTCTAGCTTGATGCCATCTCTTTTACTAGGAGCATAAAGGAAAAAAATAAATAGGTAAAAAATCCAAGAAACATAAGGGTTTCACTTTGTTAGCATTCATGCAATAACAGCTGTCCAACATTTTTTCGATGGAAACTCCTAATGTTGAATACGTTGAAAATGAAGCATGAACAAGGTGGTGATAGGAGGTGAGAAAGTCAAGCCTCAGTAATTCTTATTTACTTTTTTCAACACTCGAATACGGCAAAGTCACTACAAGATTTGACTTATAAACAGAGATGATTCATGGTGACAATATTATTATTTCGGTCTTCTAGATGGGTATGAAACAGTCTGACTTGACAAATTTCAGTGAGTCAAACTGATGATTTCATGCTTTGTCAAGAGATTTTATCAATAGATTTTGGAAGTAAATAGGTACAGACACATTCAAAACGTTCTAGTTCGCTGAATTGGAAAATACCTGACTTGTTTTGCACATAAAACTGTCTTAAATAATTTTTATTGGAGCTCAAAACCTAGGACATCATAACTTAGAGGGACAGAGAAATATATCTCATTCTACTAGAATAATTAAATCACCGTCTGCATGAAAACACCACTGTGAAGTGTCGTCTTTAAGTGTGTCAACCATTGTATGTTTTGAAAATTATAGTCACCGCTAAATTTTTGTGCAACAGTAATTCACTGGTTGTACTTTAGATATAGCGGAGAAGACATGAAGCTCAGGTAGATGATTTCTGTGAATTTTTGTTATCTGTGCTGGATAGTTTAGTATTTCATTCGATATTGTCCGGTGAGACAATGAAAGCCTCGACGCTAAACCATCCAATTACAAGAACACGGCTATACCAAAGTGATTGCACCTTTTTTTGGTTTCCTTCTAGATTCTGATGAAATTCTGTTCTGTGACCGTACGTTCGACATTTTTTGTATTCACAAGGTACTCTAAAGTCAGCAAGAGATAAAACAGAGTGTATTAACAAGGTTACGATGTAATTTATCTTATATATTATCATGAAGCCAATTTTCAATAGACCATTGCATATATGTACATATATTTATGCATATATATATGCTATTGAATAGATTTGTCTGAATACAAGCACGTGGTTCTCATGAAGCATAAAAATACTTGTGAAGAAAGCCAGTAAACCATTAAAAACGAGGAGAACATATTTAACTGAAATTCTATGGTAGACTCACACAGTATTCATTCATTGTCCATATACTTCTCCACTTTTCTTGCATATTGTGGTCGGATAATTATTTTTTTTTAAAATATTTTCTCACCTCAGCTCCATAATAAAATTAATGATCAGTAGGCATATATTGTTAGAAACAAAGAGGTGGATTATGTAAGATTATTGAAAAGGATTTTTCTTTCACGCATTCACGACATATTAGATTACTGTGTCATATATTTAATGTTCATTCATTCTTTATTTGTATTTACGTCATTTCTTTGCATATTCATTAACATGCAACTGTATCATATTCATCCATTATGTCAATGGTATTTAACTAAAACCAGAAAAAAAACCCATTCATCATTGTATTTATTGTTTCATTCATAGACAAAGAATAAAAACAAAATTCCAATATTACTATTGTGTTCATTATCATTTGTTTTACAAAAATTTCTACTTTGTAGAACATATTTTTGCAATACCATCCTCTCTGACGAGAAAAATGTCACGCCTGTCCGTGAGACGCTCGCCACCACATGTGACTACTTCCTCCAGCCATGATCAAGCCCCCAAAAATGTAGAAATTGGGAAAAATATTGGTCGATATGGACCAGCTTATTCGTGGAATTTATTTGAGGCTACTACACTTGACACAAAACGAGTAAGTGATATATCTGGTTTATTATGATATTTCAGTCTAAGGTATTTTCGTCTATTAAGGCAGTGTAACTATGAGTAAGATATGGGTTACCTCTGTTTTGAGTATCATTCATCACTAGCCTACTCTTACGATTAAAGTTTAAATTTTACTTGCATCACATGGAAGAGTAGTGTGATTATTGAGCAATCTATAGACTTATTTTTACTATGTAGCGAAAATATTTACATCCTTCACTTAAGTGGATAATTACATCAGTCGGAATTTTTTGCATAATCAAAAATGTATTAATATGTATTATAAACAAATTTTTAACGGAGGTTTAAACGAGAAAAAGTGTTTCATTTCGCTCAAAATATTCCCAAAATAACAAACTCATTATTTTGCGTACACGTTAACGCCACACTTTTTCAGAATATATCACAAGCGTGATTTTGAAAAGTATCCCACAACAGTCTGCCGGGAAATAGGCCAACAAAACTACTTTTTTAAAATATTTAAATTCTAATGTTTTGTTTTTAGATCGCTTGACACGAAGTCTCAATCCCAGTAGGATGGAATATATATTTTCTCTATTTTCAGTACCACCATGATTGTGACGAAGTAGAGAAGTCGCGTAGCATGAATGAAATGTGCAAATGTTTCGTATGGAATGTTCAAAGACAAAAATTCTCATCTAACAAATATTACTGGTAGTTTTAATGCCGCTTAGACGATCTCTGATAAACATGGAATACTTTCCTGTGCTTCTATGTCAACGTTTTCTTAATATTAGGGGAAATTCACGAGTTTTTCACAGGTTTTTTAATTTAATTTTTAATTTTGAATCACTTTATCACCATGATTCTGCAAACATACATAATTTCTGTCCCTCTTCTGTATCGCGAAATGAGACTGACGTCGCTTTGTTGTGTTTAACCCCCTGACCAAGTAAGCTGTAAACCTACTTTCAGTGAAAGGTACTTAACAGTTATTGGCATTCTGTTGTTTGAGTTGAGATCGCTGTGTTGCAGTTTTAGACGTTAATTTGCCAAGAGGAGTATTTTAATTTATCAGTCCTGAAAATTACAATTAATGTGAAATATTGTTTTCAATATGATGCTGGAAATGTATAAATACTTGTGTATATGAGACTAATCATTTGTAAACGGCTATATAAAGACTTAAATTTATAAATTTTCCACTTTCCTTTAAAATCCTGTTTAGCTTCATAACACGATTTGTTTACTGAGATTTTTGATCGAGTGCAGTTTTGGTCGCTAATTTACGTTTTTCAAAGGGACTTATGTTTAACCACTTAAAGTAATCTGGGCGGTTGTACACAGAAATCCTCGTTATTATTAACAAACATGCACAATCTTTAGTTTTGCTTTTACACTCAAAGTTATGGATGAATACCAAGTTTATTAACTGTCCGTCATTAAATAGTTTTTGGTAAAGGTGATGTCAGATTAAAGAAGAATTTGTTTTCCATTCATTTTATCGCACAACTGAATTGCTTATGCATTCGATTACTTTTTTCTTTTAGTCATTTAGTAGACTCAATAGCAGGCGCAGTATCGGCGACTGCTGATATTTTTACGCTTCCATTAGATGGGTTTATGGCGAAACTGAAAGCTCTTAGCGATAAATTGCGAGGTATACTCCATACCCTATATTCGTTATTTTTAAGGCCGTCTGGAGAGTAACTGACGAAAGTGGAGTGTAGACGTCAGCTATTTAGTAGAGTACCAGAGTACCGATTTTCTTAAGGCAATCATCATATTTATTTTGTTTGGTTTTTTTCTTCTAAAGATACGTGTTTACATATTTAGCCTGAATTATTTTTATCTTTTCAATTTGTCTGTCTCCTTATGCAACTCAATTTAATTGAAATTCAGATGTATATATCTAATTGTTTCGTCACAAGTTACCTATTCTTGTTTCTTTTTGTATTAATTTATATCTTCATATGCCTAGATGTATCACAGAAATTAAATTTAGTGAGAGAATAAACAAAGTGGAAAAACAGGGAGGAAGTAAATATTAGAAATACTTTTCTTTTTATTACCTTTTATGAATTTCTTGCATCAAATTTCGTGAATAGTCACAGAAAAGTACTAGGTAAAACTTCTGGACTGAAAAACAAGGCTGCATTATAATATACTGCAGTCCAATGGACCAGTGACAGGGGTTTAGACATTAAATGAACCCCTCCGCCCAGTTGAATCATCAGTTTAAATTTTACATAAAAGCCAGCGAAATTCAAATAAAATTGATTCCTTGAGCTTTTATCGCAGGAAACCTTTTAAGATCATGGTTATATTTGTTTAGCATATAGAAACAATACTGAATAACGTAAGTACACATCTCAGGATAGTAAGTAATCTAACCTCCACTAAATCAATTCATTTTCTTAAAATTTACCGGATAATTAGGCAGAAAAAAGAAACAAGTGAAAAGTAATTACACCTTGAAATTACGGATACTAAAAATGAGTTCTAATACGAAGTCTTAAATCATAACTTTATAGGAAGAAAATAACCTTTGTCATGCGGTATATGCAATGCCACTTATAAAAAAATAGGCAGATACATTGTTTATTTGCCTGTAGATCAGTGTCGTCAAATGAAAACAGTTTCAGTTTAAGATGCATACAAGTTTGGCTACTGCCTTCAGACAAAAGAAGCCTGTCATCATGATCTCGCTGACACACGTGTCGCTGTTTAGTCTCCGCAGTCCACGCGAAGCAGACTGAATTCGCCTTTTCTGTCTTGTTGCAAAAGAGAATAATTCGGTCGTAAGCACATGAAGTTTTTGAAAAACATGTATATGTGAAAAACAAACTGTGAAACCATTCGCCCTCAATTCAACAAGCACTTATGTTGAGAATAAATAGTCATCTTTAAGCAATACTCTTGGATCCAAGAATAAAAATGACTTTCCATTCATGTGCACTCTTTTTTTCTTGCATAAACTCATGTCTGTTCCAAGTAGCATTATAAGCTGTTTATTCATTAGTTAAAGTTAGCTATTAGAAATACAAGCTTACTTATTTTTAGGCATGTCTCTTTAGTCACCGATGCGTTTTTTCTTAACGATTCATCTAATTCCTATGAGTGATCATATTCGCCTTTGAAGTAGTTTTCTATTAAATTTGTTTTACGTTTATATGCACCTTTTTATTACTAACTCACCGTGAAAATGTGTAAAGCTCTAATAATTTATTTGCATTTGTTTCTGTGACGCAAGCGATTAATTCACTACCCTCCATCTTATGGATTTAAAAGCCATAACTTGCTCTGCATACATTCATTTATAGAAAGGTAAACTGAGATATGCCTATCTCAGAGTAAAACACGTGGATAGTAAGAAGAAAATTCACGTATGCGTACAAGCATGATACCTAATTTTTCATGGTCTTATTAGACAAATAATTCGTTTGAAGACACAATATAAACTTCTTGAAAGTGCATAAAAAATAATAATATTATTTTTACTATTTCTTATTTATTGTTTCTTTGATATCTAATATTTCGAATTTCTGCAGGCCATTCATTTACGGAATTCAGTGATTGTTAAGTGTGAGGGGTTGGGGTTACACTGTTTTGTTTAATGAAAGGTTATGTGCCAATAACACAGAGCGATTTCTTCAGCTGTTCGATGTATTTCCATTGATAAACTATTAAATCAGTGGTGAGAGGTCATTCTTCCAGTGTTTTAGGCATCTGAGACCATTAGGTCTGAGTAGCATCAGTTACTGTAAAATGTCTCACGCAAGATTTTGATTCAACTTTTTTTACAAATAGTTTCCATCCACTTGAAGTCATCAAAATCTTGGTGGATTTAAGACTTTCTGTAATGTAAGCACGAGGAAGGGATATGACGGTCACTTAATATTCTTGATATCAAAATTATCTAACCCACATGCAAATCATTCTTTGTTTTACATAAGTATCTAACTTAGCACTAAAATTTTATTGATGATCTGCAACACGATTAAAATCACTTCACTACACCTCATGTAGTAAATTAATGACGAGTGATCCTGTACTCCCCCGCAGCATAATTAATAATAACTGAATTCGTTGCACCTATTTCGCAACACAACTAGAACAGAGGTCTTATAAAGTGAACTGCCGGTTGTTTCTACTAAGTAGAGAATAATCTATTGAAAACAGTATCTAAAGAGAGAACGATGCTCATTACTTAATTCAAAGACAATGTGTATATTAAATAACAATGAATCTGTAGATGGCTCTATTCATTTGCTCACAAAGAGGAAGTAGCTATTAGATTTTATTTAAAAGAAATAATAAATTGACTGATCACTGACCACATAAAAATAATTTGATCAGGTGTATATGTTGACTACAAATCTAAGAACATTTCTGTCGATAATGTTTTTCAGTATGTTAAGCGAGAAATACTGCTTTGAGACTTCTACACTACTTTTACTCCTCATAAAAATTGTGAGAAGATATTTAGGTGTAAAAGGATGAGTGTGTGTTGCACGTGTTGAATGCTACTAATTAAAGAAAACTGACGGCAGCTGGCTGTTCTGAAAAGTACCGACGTTTTCAGTGATCTGTTCATGAACTCAATTATTACTGCTAAATTTTCGAAATAATTTAAGGGATATGTTTCCTTTAGAATCAGTTCAATGATTCCTCCAATGGACCAAAATAACTTTACTTCTATGCACTTATTCTTGTGTAACTTAACTCTTAATCATATATAGTGTGCATATTTGTGTATTATTAACTCACTTGTAAGAAACCCTTAGTTTTGCCTACCACTCTATAACTCCAGAGTTGTTCTCATGGTACACGTTGAAAATCATGTTAGTCACTAGAAAAATTGTTTGGATTTTTAAGCGGTTAAATATTCATCCACTTCGAAAATGGTGTGTCTTGTCTTACACATCCTATAAACGCAAATATTTCTATTCCCTTTTTAGCACAGCTTAATTACGCAAAATAAGTTTTGAGATTGTAAGGTACTGGAGAAATTAGATAAAGATC